GGGGGGGACGATGCCCTCGGCCAGGAGGTTCTTGTAGAGCTCCGACTTGAGGAACCGTGGGTAGGAGTCCTGGGGGGAGCAGGGGGGGTTTGGCTCCCGTCCGACCCTGCCCTGCCCTGCCCAGCCCCGCCCTCGCCCACCTTCTTCATCAGCATGTAAATGTGCATCTGGGCGTCGTCCATCACGTAGCGGTGCGGGGTCTTGATGCCTTCCAGGGTCCTCTCCATGGTCTTGCTGTCGATGTTCACCCAGCGCGTGGCCCCGGGGGCCAGGAACTGCCTGGGGAGTCACAGCTGGTGGGGAGTGCCCGGCCTCAAGGGGAGGGGGAGCCCCCCCAAACCCTAACCCCCCCAAACCTTACCCCCCCGAGCCTTATCCCCCCCAAACCCTGGCCCTGCTGGCACTCACTGGTAGATGGAATCCACGATCTCAGAGATCCGGGACTGCTCCCCATAGCGCAGCTCCTCACACGCCTCCCAGAAGCTCAGGTTCTCAGCTGGGGAGGGGGATGCAGAGAGTTGGATGTGGACATGGTGCTGGGCACCCACCATGGGCAACCTCCATCGTGACTGGGCACAAGGCCCAGCAACACTCCTGGAATGCTGGGGTGTGGGGGGGTTCTAGAGGTGCTGGGATGGGAAGGTGGGTCTGGGGGTGCCAGGACAAGTTGGTCAGGATGTGGCAGTGGGTTTGGGGTGGCAGAATGGGGTGATGGGTTGGGGGGCTGCTAGGATAGGGTAATGGCAGGGTGTTGCTGGGATGGGGCAGTGGATTTAAGTGGTGCTGGGACAGGTTGGTGAGCCTGGGGGTGCTGGGAGGCAGCAGTGATTTAGGGTTGCTGGGGTGGTGGGTCTGGGGGATGGTGTGTCAGTGGGTACCAGGATGTGTGTGTGGCGGGGTGGGTTTGGACATGCTGGGATGGGGTGGGTTTGGCATGAGGGGGGTACCTCACCACTGAACTCCTTCTTGAGGAACTCGAGGAGATGCACCCGGCCCAGGGGGTCAGTGATGAGCTCGCTGAAGTTGAAGCTCCAGCGCTCCACGCGCGGCTTGGTGGGGGTCAGCACCCTGGGGGTGACAACAGCACCAGGGCTGGCAGCAGGCACCCAGGGCTGCCTGCACCACCCTGCACCCCGTCCTGTGGGTTGGGGTGTTGGGGGGAGGGCCCAGCAGGCCCCTGCGGGCTCTTACGTGGGGGCGTTCATGGCCCAGTAGGTGGTGTCATCTGTGAGCCAGGGGTTGCTGGGCAGGCAGCCGGACATGATGGGGTCGTGGGGCACGTACTGCTCGTTGAACTTCAGGTACCTGCCAGGAGCAGCAGCTGGAGGTGGCCAGAGCCACTGTCCCACCACTG